CACCCGCAGCACGGTCTCTTCTCCCACCCCCCCCCCCCCCCCCCATTCATGGGAGGGTGCCTAAGATAAAATCTTGCACCAGGGCCCTTTTTTCTGCGATACACATCACGCGGCTGTGTTAGCCACGATCGTGTTTGGAAGCACGGGTGGAATCGCAGTGGGAAACCGCGTCATCCGCACGGAAAATAATGGCACCCACAGTGCGATCGGTGCACACCTGGGCGACTTTTGACTGTGCGGCAATCCGACTGCCGCGCGGTGGGGTGTCACCTAGGTGTGCACCGGCCCTAAGAATGAATAGCGCATCAATGCTAAAGACGCGCATGGGTAAACGCAGTGCAAAAGCACGATGGAGATCACTGGGGTTTTACATATTTTATCTTTCTGGGCTGCTGCTCATATGCAGTACGGGAAGGGAGCTGGAAGTGATGCCGATATGTGATCAATTCTAAAAGAAAGACTCCAGGCAGTTACAAACGTAACCCTTGCACTGGGGCTGACCCCTGCACTGCGAGGGTTAAGTGCTCAGTTTGGTCTAGGGTGTAACATAAAGATATACTCACCCTAACCTCAGTCCTGTGGGAGTGACCGCTCAGTTCTCCCCCTGTCCGCTCCAGCTGTGGTATGTCCCACTGCATCCTCCCGTATAATACAAGTCAATCGACATGTATTACATGTGATGATGTCAGCGGGGCTTAGCCCATCGGAGCCCAGGGGAAAAGAGGCTGCTGGGACCAGTCAAGCAGCCAGGCGGGACCGAGGATCAGCAGAGTACATCTTTTTTATTTTACACCCCAGACCAAAATGAGCACTTAACCCTTGCAGTGCAGGGGCAGCCCCAGTGCAGGAGTTAGAGTGATATAAAAGTCAAAGGTTTTTAAGCCATTTAAAGGAGAACTATGGGGTTAAGGCTTTTCCCCATAGTTCTCCTTAGGGTAACGGGAGGATACAAACTAGCGTCCTCCCGTCACCCTAGGCTCAGTATACCGCGAGCCGTAGCTGAGATGCCGCAGTATAGCTGCTCGCGGTATACTGAGACGCATCAGCTGAAGCGGATCCCGACAATTATGCTGGGATCCGCCCAGCTGCGTGACTGACAGCTGGCTCTGCCTATCTAGAGGCAGAGCCAGCTGTACCCTCCCCCGTCCGTTCATCGTTCACACCGCCGGCGTTTGTAGCTGGTATTTGTCAGCACGGAAAGGCTCAGCACAAGCCTGTAAGTATGCGCCTCTTTTTACAGAGATCAGCGCGATGTGACCCTTTTCCCTAATCGCGCTGATCTGCCCAAAAAAGAAGCTTGTGTACCTTTTCCAGCGACCGGCTTTTTTCTCAACACCACGCTGTGCTGAGACGTGAACGAGGACTATAAAAATCAATAGGATTTCTTGTGCAGAGCTTTTCCGTGCTTACAAATGCGAGCTACAAACTCCCTGGTGTGATCAAGGACTTAAATGCTGATCACTTACTTACTTGATGTTAATGATGTTAAAAAGTTTTAGTTTCCTGCAGATTTAGCTGCTCCCCTGAGCACTGGCTCTGATATCCTGCTGCGTTAGGGTGGCTCCTTTCCCTTGCAGAGTTCTACGGAGTCACCCTTGTGTGTGCTAGTAAACTTTGTGTGTCCCCACAAACATACAGACACTGCAAGACAAGACACTTCCCTGCACCTTCTCCAAGCTGGTAGATGGACAGCTGCTGGAGTCGGCTTGTAATCTTGTACTAGACACGAAGTTCAGGGAAGCGGAGCTGAGAGACTTGGATCTGTTCAGAAACATGATGACTGTAAGTGTTTGGGTAAAAATCTAAAAAAATTATTTTGCTGAGAGATATATATTTGTTTCATCTGGGTTTATTATTGGGGGAAAAAAAAGATTGAGGGTTTAACCACTTGCTGACCGGGGTGTTAAACCCCCTTCCTGGCCAGGCCATTGTTCAGTATTCAGCGCTGCAGTACTTTGAATTACATTTATTCCGTCATGCAACGCTGTACTGAAATACATTTTATACCCTTTTTTGGGGACAGACAGAGCTTTCTTTTGGAGGTATTTAATCACCACTATTTATTTTTTACTATATAACAAAAAAAAGTACCCTAAATTTTGTAATATCCCCTATGTGATAGCCAATTCACATGACAGGTCCTCTTTATGGAGACATCAGGGGTCTTTAAGACCCCTCTCACCTAGGGATCTTCTTCTCTCTCCTGCCCTCTCCAAACACAGTCTGTTTCTCTTTCCCAGCAGGAGCCAATTCCCCCAGCCAGCATCCTTTCCTTAAAGGAGAACTATGAGGTGAGTGCTTTTCACTCACCTCATAGTTCTAGCTGACCTGTGACAATGAGACTGAAGCACACCTATGCAATCATTGGGTGCTGGTCACTGCTAAACCCTGGACCCAGGACTGGAGACCTCATCCCCCTGAATCACTTTGAAATCCCCTAGTTCCAGGATCCCAAACAGAACCCAGACAAACCCTTGCTTCCTGACACCTCTCCTCCCCTCTGGCTGAGAGTCCTGGGTGATCATAGCACCCAATTCTACAGTGGGATTGCCACACAGTACCACAGCGTGTAGTGGTGGTGGTGCACTGCCATTCACTGCAAAGTACACCCAACACACATACAGAGTAATGCAGCGCGCCATGACACACATGTGAATGCTCCGTGTGTTGCAGGACCCTGCGTAGACATTGTATTGTCAGCCCATTTTTTGGAGCATACTGCAATGTTAGGTGATTGTGCAGTACAATTCTGGGGGTCACTTGGTCTTCTAGTCCTCTCATGTATTCTCTCCATATGATGTACAAATCTACTTCAGGATCATGACTCCTCCCTTTCCCCAGTGGCCCGACCAGTCCTCCAGGTGTCTTGTCTTTTTCCATGGAGTATTTTCAGATGTGTACAAATTGTATTATCCCTTGCAGTGGAGCCACCCCGGAAACACTGCAAGGGTTAACTGCTCTTTGTTGCCTAGGGGAAAAAAAACAAAAAAAACAAACAACCGTTATGCTCACCAAATCCCTCGGCATCCTCACGCCCCATACACTGTGTATAGAACGTGAGAACTCACCTTAGACCCCTGCAGCGGAGGGGGAGAGACGCTCCAGGGACCGGTCTAAGAGCTGGATATCTCCAAGGATCAGTTAAATATAACTTTATTTTTTCGACCCTTGGCAAAAACTAGCAGTTAACCCTTGTAGTGGGGCTAATAAAATGTGTGCCCGGAGTGCTTCTTTAAAGCTGAACTATGGGAATTATACAAAAACTACCCTTGCAGTGGGCCTCCTGATCTGCAAGGAAGGCATTCTCCCCCTTGCATTTTAAGGTTTGTTGTACCCTAGGCATTGAGGGGTTAAATCTGGTATGTATGTGATCTGTACAACTTCCTACGTCTGCTGAACATGTAGCCACACCCAGTTTTTCTACAGCGAATGTCACTTCCGTATCTTACCCCAGCTTTATTAGGTCTTTTCTCTGACTTCCCCGATCTGAATATCTGTTCCAGGTTGGATAAATCAGAAAGTGTTGAAGCCAGGGATCACAATACCATTAAGACAATAAGAATTTTCAGAGGGAGGTTAGTAATAGCAGCCGTCCTGATTTCTCATAGGGACGGTTTCACTTACGAAACACTGTCCCTAAAATACATTAAAATGCAATGTTCCCCTTGCAAGGAAAAGGGTTCACACTGACCTCTCCCATCTAGGGTTGCCACCCATCTGGTTTTGGAGTCTTGTGTCTGGGAGTCTAGCCAGCGGGCACCCAGACACAAGACACTCATTTTCTGACAGAAGCGCCTGCTGAGGTGCTCGGCAAGCGCGATCTTGGGCAGCCGCATCTGCCTGAAGCCCGATCTTCCTCTTAGCCTGGAGCACATCGGCAGCCACATCTCTGATTGCTCCTCCTCCTCCGACTCCCTGACACCGTGCTGCCTGCCTGCGGACCCCTAGTGAGACACCACAGCCCACCTGAGTGATTGTTTCCTTACTCCCTCCCCTGGCTGCCTCTCCTCGCTCTCTCCTCCATATTCTCCCAAAAAAAAAAAAATTGCTGTGCGCGGCTCTAGTGTGTTCGGGTTTCACTTGAAGAAAACGTGGCAACCCTATTCCCATCACTAGCACCACCAATCTATGCTGTATTGCCTGTAAACCTTCAGAATGCCCTGACCCCCACTGCACTCTGT